GTCTGGTGTCACAGTGGCATGGGCTGTGCCAATGTTTTTCCCTGCCAACATCCTAATGCCTATAAAACATTGCTTCATAAATATTTTTTTTAAATCTCTGGAGTATTTATATATCTGGAGGGGACAAAGCCTTGTAGACAGTATGTCCAGTTATGTTCTTCCATTTTCTACTAGTATTTTATCCTTTTAGAATGCTTCTCAAAAGCAGATCTTGGTTCCTTTATTTTTTCCCAGGCCTGGAGTTTGTCTCCTGGGGATTATTTTTTTTAACAACCAAAGTGCTCAGCCCCCAAGTTCTTTAACACTTTCTGTAGTTTAACTTTGTGCAAAACCACTGTTTACCTGCTGCCATTTATTCAGCTTGCTGAAATTTTCCAATACAAGAGGGTTTAAACTTGATTAGACTCTGCATTGTCCCTTTTCTAATCCAGAATTTTGTCAGCAAGATCTTTCTGGAACAAATAACAATTTTCCAAGCATCCCTTCCACATTTCCACTGATGTTTTGTTTTTTTTTTTTTTTCTCTAGAGGTCTGCAGAGATTCCTGTAAGTGAATGCAAGTGATTTACAAATGTTGCCTATTGACTCATTGTATTGGGAAGCTTTCAGTAGGTGGGGAAAGTGTCGCCTCATAAATAAAACATTAATAATGAAACACATTTCACATAAATGTGGCTTTTTAACCATTGTGGTGTTATAGTATCATGAGACGTGAGGTTTCCTCAGCAGCACCAAGTTGTGGTCCTTTGTCCTTCAGTTATCTAAGCAAGACCAAGGAGGTTTCCCCAGCCAGAGGATTTTCCAGGTTTTTTTTATGGTTTCCCAGAAGTGGAGCCTGTTAGTGGGGATTGTGCCCGGAATTCAAACCGTGCCCCTGCCTGAGCAGATCCAGTCAGTTTGTTCTCTTCAGATCTCTGTTACATTGACATTCCTTTCCTTGAGTGTTCTCCTCTTTAGGGTGATGTGAACGTTTTGGGAGGTGTAAGGTCTGTTCTGGTGGTGAATAAATGCTCCAGTCCTGACATAAAGCTCAGGAGGAATTCACTCCTCACCTCCCTGGTGGTGCCATCCTGTCACCACTTCTGTTGACTTTTGTTGCTTTACACAGCTTCAGCTGTACTTTAAACAGGATCTTGGGTGTGTATTGTGACACTGTAGCATTTTATTTTTTTTAATGGAAAATTACATAATTTGCTTTTTTTTTTTTTTTTTTTTCAATTTTAAGTATGCATAGGGCAGGAATGGATAAGATGATCATACACTGCAAATACTATGGATCATTTGGAACCTAACATTCAAATCCTATTGTGAATGTCATCTCAAACCAAATGGTTATTTAGTATTTGTTCATTTTAGCTGTTTTGTTGGGAGTTCATTGTTCCTAGTGCAAGAAAAACCTTTGTTGATGCTACTGTAGAGTCTGTCATGTTAGAATGTGCCAGAAAATCAATCAGTGTTATGGAAAGAAGAACCAGACATGTAAGGACTAGTTTTCTGGCTATTTCTTTTCAGGATATTTTCCTGCTACTTTTGGTTAATTTGTTTCCTAACTCATTATTTTTAGAGCTCTCATACAAATTATACCTATTTAACTAAAAGAAAAAAAAAACCAAAAACCAACCCAACCCTTTTGCTAACTTGATTTTTCTAGTGGCCTCTGAAGCCCCTGTTTTACCTAAATACATAACAAATCTTGTGGTTTTACTTGCCTTCCCTGAGAGCAGCCCCAGGCTACATTCCATGACTCAAATGGGATGCTGAGGATTTCTTGTGTTATTCCTTTTCTTAAATATTATTTCAGAGCTGTGGTTAGTGTAGGTGTACTGGGGAGGAGGGAGAATCTGGGGTTTTTTCAACCAGCTACTATGTCTTAATTCTAAAATCAGTCACTACAGTAAGGAGGCTTCTAATAAAGAAGAGATGGGCTCTGCAAGGCTGGTTCTGACTCTGCCTGGGTGAGCATCTTCCTGCTCCACAGCTGTGGGAGCTGGCTCAGCATCAGTCCCAGCATGTGTGAAGAGGTTTTTGATGTGGCCTAAATACAAAAGGTTGTGTATTAATGAAAGCCCTTAGTATTTGGCCATCTCAAGTCATGCAGTTCACTTTTTAAAACTCAATCGATACAAATAAACAAAAAAAAAAAGAAAAAAAAACCAAAAAAAAAAAAAAAAAAAAAAAAAAAAAAAAAAAAAAACAAAAAAAAAAAAAAAAAAAGACCAAAAGTAACAGCAAAAACATATCCCAAAGAAACCCCACTGTGTCTTAGTGTAATGATGTATTGCTCTTTGCTTGTTGTAGATCCTGATTTTGAAACCCCAGTAAGAAGTTCAAAGAATGTGGAATTAAATTCTTTTTCCATCCCAGATGGACAATTAGTAACCATACTGAGAAGATTGCTTGAGTATTGCTGGTTATAGTTCAGATCAGCAGGACAGGCATGAAGACAGTTTCAAATATTTTATTGCTAATTTGGCCTAACAAGGCACAAACACTGATCTTTATCCCATTATTGTAATTCATGTATTTTCTTAGAAGTGAAAACTGCCCTTAGAGCACAGAGAGGACTCTTGTAAACAATATGTAACTGTTCTGGTAAACCAAACCCTGGGCTTTCTGTTACCAATGTGTTTGTGCTGGGCCAGGAACTGGTTTTATTTTTCATCCCATTTTAAGATCTGATTGGAGAAACTACTCCAAATGTAAGACATTATGGAGTTTGAAAGGTCTTTGAAATAATTGCTTTACATCAGCTTTCCACCAAAGTGTCATAGTTGTAGTGAGAAACAGTAATTAGGAAAAGATTTTGTGGCAGCTTTACTGTGTTGTGACTTTTCTTATTAAAGCACTGACTTTTTCACTTTATATCTATATTTTTTTGGTGATGAAGAATGTTTTACTGCTTTTTCTGTAAACTTATCATTGCCTAGTTATTTGTCCATTGAATGAACTGCTGTTTCATTAAAAAAAATCTTGTACAATTGCTGATTCCATTTTTCAATTTTCCAGCTTTGTACTCATAAGTTGAGTGAGCCATATGATGTTCTGTATTGAACAACTGTTACTTTTAAGAACAAATATAGGAACATTCCCCAAAATGGGTTTGGTTCAGATACAGGGAGATTGCAGATAATGTCCCCTCTCTCCTTTTCTTTCTCTACCTTCTCCCTTTTCCTTTAGAAAGATATTTTCCTCCTCATGCTCTGATACAGTTGAAGGTGACTGACAGTCCTCCAGCTGCCAAGAAATTGGAAATCTTCAAAATTAAAGTATCCAATGAGCATAATTCCAGCAGTGGGAGACAGAAAACTGAGGACTGAAATTGAGATTTTGATTAATTTCCTATTTCCTTTAATAGCAAAAGCAAACAGTCGTGCAGTCTGCAAATACTAGAAATTAAGTAAAATCTTCTTACCTACTTCTAAAAGAAATTTAACTGCTCTTTTTGTTCATGAACAGTTCATAAAAGCAGGGAACAAGTTGACATCTAATACCATGTATAAACGTCATCATCTCGTTACAAGAAATCAGAACAAAATTTAGATGTGTATTTTGTGTTTGCTCTCATTTTTGTGTATGTGCATCTAGGGAATCCTTAATGGCAATAAAAGGACAATCAAATTTGCATCTGATGTGCTGCTTCCACCATTGGTATTTGTAATTGTGTGATCACACAAACACATATGCATCTTATACCTGCCAAGAAGAAGGTGCTCTGAAAATCAGCAGCACTAAATTTACTGTAAGATGCCTCTACACATCTTTTAGATGCAATTTAAAGAATTTGCTGTTCTGCTACAGTTCAGGTGTTAGTTAAGATTCTGGTAGGAATGTGATTTTTTTTTTTAAACTCTTTTGAAAGTGAAACTTTGGAATGTGTCCCCTTTCTTTGTACTACATTGATTGTAAAGGAATGTGAGAGACTGATATCCCAAGAGATGGAGGAACCTTGAAGCAGCAAAAATAACGCATTTTTCTTCTTTAAAACAATTCTGTAAAGAAAAAGGGTGGGGAGACACAGAATATTTACAACAACTATTTTAAAGGTCTTGCGCTGGTCTGGATTAAAAGAATTAATTATTTGCCACTTAAAACCAGAATGGAAGTATTTTACCCACAACACTTCAAAGCTCTGAGAGATAGCCAAGGCACACCCATGGCTGTTGATAAGAGGATGCCCACAGTGGTGTCTGTGTGTATTTCAGTCACCAGGCTGCTGCTGTTCTTTCTGAGTCTGTTCAGAGCTCTTGTAGACTGATGGCCAGGAGTTCAGTCCCGTGTTGCACACGCACTGCTGGAGCCAAAGTGCATCTTTCATATGCAGAATGAAAAGGGCTTTTGCTTCTGTTGTTAGCTTGTGTTACAGGTTCAGCAAAACTGAAGCACTGCATTTTTGGCTGTCTGCTTTCATATCTTGGCTTACAGTTTTTAGGGCTGAGACAAAACATGATCTAGCCTTCTATCACTGTCTCTCTTCTGTAGTTCAGCGTCTTTTTACACTGTAAAAGAATAAATTGACGAAAGTGGTACAGAGTTAAGTAAGATACAGAGGTCTGTACAGTCCCTGAAGATCCTCACTAGCTTGCAAAGTCATGTAAAACTTAATTATCATTATCATTCATGTAGGAATCGTAGAGAAGTAGTGTTTCATTGAAGAAAAAAAATCTGTGACAGCCACATAAATGTAAAATACAGTGACACCATGAGTTAAAGAACAAATGTTACCAAATAGCATTGATTATTAAATTGCCAATGAAATTGATATTAATGCAGTAGATGCTTGGATTCAATCAATGATTGAGAAACAGTTCTTTAAATGTTATAGAGTGTTGAAGTCAAACACAGAAAGCCAACTGAACTTGTAGTGAGGTTCCAAAGCTTGGTTAAAGATTTTTGTTAAATCTGCTCCATTTCCTGCTCATTGCAAAACAGAATGATACATTGCTGTTTGCTGACTCTCTTCATCTCTAACCCATTCCCATAACACTGTTTTCCCATTTCAGGAGTTTTATGAACACACAAAAACCCTCTGGCAGGATGAAGGTGTGAAAGCCTGCTACGAGAGATCCAACGAGTACCAGCTGATTGACTGTGCACAGTAGTGAGTATTGCTGCACTGCCCGTGCCTGCTTTGGTGTCCTGATGCTTTCCCTGATCCCTGGAAAACCAGTGTGTGGTGCACAATGAATTCTTGGTAATCAGCTCTTCAGAGAGGTGGGACACACTGATGTTCAGTTAGACAATATCTACAGTGAAATATCTACATCCACAGGTGTTTTCAAAAGGTTTTAATAAAAACCTTGGTGAGGGGACAGTTTTATTGTCTGCGAGGCCAAATTTCCTGCCTCTTCCACTTGGCCCATCCTCTCCAGAAGTCAGCTTCAGGTGGTGCACAAGTTGCAATAAGTTGGAGAGAACGTTGGTGGGAAATAAACCTGTTTGTCTCTTTGCTTTCTAGTGCAGTTTATTTAAGTGGAAACAAAGAGATGGGAGTGACAGTCATGGGGAGCAGCCTGTGATCAGTCACCAGAGCTTTGCTTGTGTGCCTTCATGCACATATCTGAGAAAGAGTCATTCTCTTCTGCTATTTATACTGCTGGGATTATTAGTATTGTTTTGAGAGCCTGCTGCATGTTTGCAGTTATTTACCACATCCAGCAGTATGCTGTGGCTCAGGACTTTTTATGGCAAGGTGCTCGAGTTAATTGTGACCATTCCTGGTACTTCTGTTGTGCGTACTCAAGAATTTCAGGACTTAAATTTGAAACATTAATGGTTAAAACTGTTCTTTGTTAGTTTATATTCTCTCTGCTTCTTTTGGAGAAGCTGAAGTAAGGTTTAATGGTCAAGAAAATGAAGGTTTCTTGTTTCACACAGTGATGGCAACTGCAGTTTGTCTAAATCTGCATGTCTTAAAGATCACCTGATGAAACAAAATCTGTAAGGTTCTTCTTTTGTTTGTTTGTTTAGGTAGACTTAAAGGTAGATCAACAATTAGCTCTGTTTGAAAAGAGACAAGGGAGATAATTTTACTGTGCCTTGCACAGCTCCAGGTTTGTAGGAGCCTCTTTGAAGTTTTGCCATTGTTTCCAGAGTGAATTTGTTTGATGTGTAACGATGTCTTTTGCATTAGGTGACTAATGTTTGATCATTTGGCACGGAGCTTTTTGCAAGTTCACTTGCTACAAAATAAAAAAGTACAAAGATTTTCAATTTCAGACAAGCATCCAGCAACTTTTGTGTTTCTAGTGTAAAGTTGGTAGAAGTGAGGGAGAGCTGGGTTTGTTGCTGGTTAGTGTTTGTTAATAGCTTCTATGCTGGGAGGGAGGAAATCGTTGAGCACTAAGAGCGTTTTGTGTTGCCCTTTTTCTGCCCTGAATGCACAGAAGAAAGCTGAAATTCTTATCATCCCTGGACATTGACTTTTCCATGGATCAGCAGGGGAGGTGGCCCTCATGAAGGCTTTACCATCCTGCTCCATCTAGTGGAACACTTAATTCTACATCATGGGCTGTTGTGCCAGAAATAAACTTTGAACATTGCTGACGAATTAGATTTTTTTTTTCCCCTAAAGAAAATAAAATAAAAAATGCTGTCTCCCACTAAAAATATTTAATAATTCTAGTATTTATTCAATATGATAGCAACATATATGACACTATAGTCTTGCAGAAGGAGATTTCTAATTGTTAATTTTGACAGTTCTTGTCCTTTCTGGCATTTTTGACCATGCAGTTGGTGGAGTTTTTAATAACAGAATATGCATAGTAGGAGCTTTTTAATGGAAAAATGTTATCTTGGAGGTTAATGTCACTTTGAAATGTTGAGCCTGTTTTTATCATATTAAATTTTCAAGGGACCTAACAAAAATTGCTTCCTATAAAATCTGACTTGATTGATGCATTTAAATTAACCTGGTGAGCATATACTGACAAAAACGTGGCAAAGGCAAAATACAAAATGTATCTGAGATTTATTAAAGGAGGGCTGTTTTAATATGAGTGTGCAAGTTACTGCTGTTAGCACTAATAGAAGTAAAAAAAGAATATTGAGCAAATTCTGTTGGGGTTGTCCATTCTTTCAGAGAGGAGTTTTGGGTTCTGAACACTTTTCCCCTTTTGAAGTCCCCATTTAAAACAAGAAAATTACACTGAAAATGGGAGATGGAAAAGTGGCTTTTCTCTTTCAAGATCGATCTGGCTTCCAAAAATCCTTTCTTGCTCTTGAAAATTGAATAAAATCTTAAATATTAATGGATTCTTTGCTCAGTTATTTGCCTTAAAATTTTAAACGTTTCTTGTTCACAAAAATTAACTTTTTAGAGTTGTTTGTAAAAAAACGTAATTCTTTTCAACTGTCATTTTTTGAAGACTAAATTTTTTAGTATAAAGTGTATGGGCTTATTTAACATTCTGAATTTTTTAAAAAAGGAAGTTTTGTCAGTGTTGGGACACAGTTTTGTGTAGGAATCTTTGCGAGGAGATTCTGCCGAAGGTTTGAAGATGTTTTGCCTGTCTTTCAGCAGTTCTGCTTTCCATGGATAAAAGCTGGTTCTACATGTAGACAGCTTAGCTGTAGTCCAGGAGAGGGAAGGGCTTTTCAGGAGTCAGGGATGGAGAATCTGGAAAAAAATGGTTCTGGAGAGATGGCAGCTCAAACTTCTGCAGAGGTTGTGCTCAGGAAAGATGGGAATTTGCAGAGGGGTCAGGAGCTCTCCTGGACAGACAGAGCATGAGGGAAAAGTCACTTTTTCCTGCATGTGCATTCCCAGAAAGTGGGAACAAATGTAATTCTCAATGTTTTATCTCCCTAATTCCAGTGTGGGGGTTTAGAGTCCAAAAATGGGATTTTTCACCTGTTCTGGAGCCGTAGCTTTAAATGTACAATGCTTCCTCTGCATGTCTACAACTTGCAGTGTCTTCCCATAAGAAGTGACATTATTACACACTCTGATTGTTGCTCCACCAAGTCTCTGGTTGTGTTGGCTTAGAAAAGACATCTTTACAAAAGCCACAGGTACCATCCTGCTTCCCATTTCCCTGCAGTTGTGATCTTTGGAGGTGTGAAGCTGGGAGGGCTGGCCAGTAACCTCATCTGCTGGAGAGCCCTTCTGGTACCCTGCCCTGACCCCTCATGAAAATGTCACTTTGGAGGAGCACTGCTCATTTTGAATGAGTAGCTGCCTCTGCTCATCCTGAGCTTTACTGTACTTCCTGCCCAGGCAAATTCTGCAGTCTTGAGAGGCAGAGAAAGGAAAGAAAGCTTGTTTCCCTTTTCTTAACTGGCCTTACTAAGAAATCAGTTTCAATTCTGCATTTAGAACAGCACGGTCTGTGCCATTGTCACCAGTTTGTATTTCAGCATTGAAGAAAAGAGGGAGCTTTATCTGTGAGGAGACCAAATTTCATTGCTCATGCATCTTGCAGGGATGTACACAGAGTGTTTGTATGAAGCTGCTATGTGATCCTGCTCTTGGCTAATAATAAACAGAAGAAAACAGAGGTGGCTAGAATACAGAAAATCCCAAACTGTGTTAAATTATTTACCATCCTTCATATGTCTTCCCTGGAGGCACAGGGTCACATTTTATTTAGAATATTTACTTATTATTAAAAATCTAGGAGCCATTTCCACTGTGATGTGCCAAAGCCTGTTTGTCAAATACAAACAAACAGGATCTCTTTGAAGCGCTGATGTTGCCAATGCTTCTACCTCAGGTTTCATTTGAGCAGCTCTGCTTTTACAGCCTCGGGAGCACCCAGCAGAGCAGTCAGGGCCAGCAGGATCTGTCCCCTGGGATGTGCTGTGTGTGGCATCAGGACAGGAAGGGTGCCCTGCTGTCCTGGCAGGTCTTACCCAGAGCCTGGAGAAACCTGCACTGATGTCAGGAGCCTTTGGGTTAAATATTCAGCCACTTAGGAGCAAAGCCTGGGTACTACATGATCCTCCTGGTGCTTTTTTAGAGTAGCTAATACCAGGCTGTGCCACAGATCCCTGAATTTCTGCTTTAGCCAGCCCTGCCCGCTCGTTTCATTCTGCGCTTCGTTTTGCGCCGCGCTTTCCCTGCGAATCCCCTCGCTGGCGCTTCCTGGTTTTGGCTGGGGTGGAAAAGGAAATCAAGTGGGAGGCAGAGTGTGCAGCCCCTGTCCGAGCTGCCATGGCAGGAAGGGTGGAAGCAGCAGAGGAGCCGTTCTCACGCGATTTCCTGCCGCCCGCTCCTCTCCTGCGCTGCCATTTCGGGGAAGGAGCAGGCTCTGGAGGTGCACGCTCACGTTTCTGGAACTCCAGCACCAGCAGAGCCTCTCTGATACCTTGAAACTGTGCCAGGCTCCTCCAGAAGGGTTTTATGAGGAGTATTTTTTAAGATGTTTGTTTTTAAAATACTTATCAAAGAAAGGCAGGGAGTGCAGCTATTAGCCGACTGCTGTGCAGGGCTGCTGAAGGATCAGCACATGTGGGCACACAGGCTTTTTAATTTCTGATGTTGTGAATTCTTTATATTTTTATTAAGATTTATGGTGTGTTTTATTTCTGGATTTGCAGACTTGCAGAGAGCAGTTAAGAGCCCCAATCTGTGCAGTTAATGATTTTCTTCCATGTTGATTTCTCTTCATGACAAAGTTCCTTTCATGGAACATGTAGTAAAGTGTGTTTGCTCAAAGTCTCACCTTTTTAAACAGTGCCTGATTTATCAGGGGTGCTATTGCTGCTCTAATTTCTTATCCATATTATTTATTACTTTTTTTTTTCCTTTTCTTTCCATTCGATGTGATTTTGACAGAGTGGTTTCTCTTGTCTCCAGCTCCTCTGAGTGCTCACATTCAACAGGACAGGAATTTCCCTGGCCTGTATTCCTGGCATACACCAGCTTCTTACGGACAGTGACAATTACATTGTTAAACATTCCCATGAGGAAGAAGAATATTCATGTCCCCTTTCTCTGGAATAAAACTGACACAGCCTACTGCTGTGTGAATTCCTTGGCAAGCCAAAGAGTAGACCCAGATCATCTAACTCCTAATTTTTGGTCTTGATTATAAAATCCACGTTACTGTATTCCATAGTGCTTAGAGATAAGTGAATTAGGGTCTTTTCCCTGCT